CAGCTCATTTCAAGATGATAATTGATAACACGTAAGTGGTACCGTGGGACAGCTTGCCGCTGCAGCATCAAACGCGGTCTGCGAAATAAATGGCCGCTCCTCACATTACGAAGCGCCACGTGATCTCGTGATTATTTATTATTTTGACGAACTTTTTTACCTTGTTTTACGCTATCTTTTACGCTGTTTTAACTTGCCACTTTTATCATCGTTAAACTTTTAGTTCCATTAAAAGTAATTGTCGATATCATCGATGCGAAAACAACATCCGAAGAAATGAGTGTAATTACCTTTTCTCCAAACTTTTAACGAACATCGGATTTTTACTTCGCTTATCTTTCAGGTTGAGAATCGACCTCAAGCTAAAGAATCTGTTATTGAGAAAATAACCGATATTTGTTGGACAGTTTCTATAAAGCGCAGCGGAGTGGATAGAGAGTGATTTCCGTCTTAGAAAAGACAAGACATCGAACCGATCCGCAAATATTTTCCACGCGGTAGTTAACGTCTCCTCTTTGCGGACATAGGCTCGTTCGCTTATGCATACTTGGTGCAATGTCTATGCGTGCGCGTGCGTGCAACTTCGTCTGAGCTGCATGTTAGAGAAACTAGGTAGCCTTGAAGGGGCCTCCGCTTTCTGTCCGCGAATTCTAGCCATTTGCATCTCGTCGCTTTTATTTAAGAAGCGATGGGACGTGTGTCATTAATTTGCATAGCCGGCACGCCTATCGCAGTGACCTTGTCCGCGGTGTCATCGTTTTCGTGCTGGACTTGGAGACGTATAGAGTGCTATACGCAAGTTTTTTAAAGGCCTTTCGACATTGATTAAAACAGCGAATTGTCTAACAATAATATTCTCCAATTATTTTTCTAAGAGTATCCATAGTATTACGAATATACTGGCGTTACTGCTTTTGTCTTATTACTTACATTTGTTCACGCGTGTAACATTGAAAATTAGAATATCTACTCTGATGCGAACGTAATTTAATATGTATTTAATAAGTGCCGAAAACTTTGATATAATGAATATCAAAGATTATTTATTTGAATATATTTCCTTCAGCCTGTATAGATCTGATAATTTGAATTTGTTCTTACATCGGCTAAGTCGGTTCTTACGTCGGTTATCTATCTATAAATATTAAGTAAGAGTAAGCGATCAATCTTATGTGCCAACACCGCATGTATCGTTTATAACGACGAAATGTCGTAAAATAATTTTCATGCATACAAGCTCTTATAGTAACCTTTACTGCTGAGCCTTATCTATTAGTTTGGTGTGGAAAACATGTATCGTTAACTGTTTGTTTATTAAAATCGGACAATTAAAAACAAACTAACTGACTTAGTCGATTGTCAAGGTTCAAACAATATGTTGATATTTACTACAGACATAATTGGTGCTTTACTTAGTATCATACGATCTGTGATATTGTGCGGATGTAATAGCAGTGCAAATGGCATCTACAAACCAGTGGCTAAATCATTTTCATAAATTAAACAACAGTTTGGTGTGCAATATTTGTAAAAAAATTTATGATAAAACATATTACCATGCAATATCACATTTATACTCTAATCACGGTATATGTATATAATGAAGAACAAAACTTAAAATGGAAGAACCGGGTGGAAACCAGTTTAGTTTGGCGCTATTTCTCAAAAGAAGTATTGTTTGAAGCACGGTGCAAACATTGCAACAAAATAATTCATCGTGCTTATAACATATGTGCTATGGAGAAGCATGTGAAAACGCACCCAGAAATAGTAATTGCACGAGTAGAAGAAATTACTTGTACCGGGCTATTGAAATATTTCACACTCACAAAATGTACTGTAAAGTGCAAATATCAAGATTGCTGTTACACTACTAATATATTTAAAGAGATAGATAGTTTAATAATTCATTTACGTATACATCATAATATATACGAATATTCCGGATACGAAGAAAAAACTGGAGATAATGACGTAGATGCAGTGATACAAATAATTATTTTATCACAGTATATAGGAGTTAGTATTTACAGAGACGCAGTCGATACGGGTTGCTTCGACAATTGTAATGTTTTTCGTATCGACGTATCAACTCAATTATGTATCTTGTAAAACGTTTCATGTAATTTATATGAATAAATTAATGTTGCAACAAGTACATAATTAGAGAATTACCTATGCACACTGGAATTATAAAATACGTGTAGACTTGACAAGTTCCTTTATCGTAGAGCACTGTTAGCGCTATTGCAAGCAGCGCATATAAAACATTGGAATCATATACAAATTTTAGTAGAGAATAAGCACATCCAATGTACATATAATAGGAAATGACAACGAAAAGTATGACGACGGCGATGACGTTTCCATAAATAGATATTTCAACATTGAAACTTTGCATCGTACTATCTTCGCTTTCAGAACACGTCGAAAAGGAGTAAAATTATCATATATTTAACATCTAACATTAAGGTTCAGCAATTACGATTAACAGAATGTCGATCTGTCCAGCTATTTTTTATAAGATTCGATAACCTCGCACCTAGCTGGTTCACGTACCGATACATGTGGTGGTCTCATATTACGCGAGCATTTAGCGCACAACATTACCGTGTTTCTTGCCTGCTTAAGAATAAATAAAAAATTACGTGGTTGTGGCACATTCCATTTTTAATACTAATCAACTTCAAAACTAATAGTCATGGCAGCTTTTTTTAATAATTGCAAAACAAGCAATCAGATCGTTTTAAAATTTCGCAGAAAACCTTGCGTATAAAAATTAAATTTTTAGCATTGGTTTGTGACAGTTCGTAAGTGAATGTAATTTTCTTTATAGTTACCGTAAGACCCTGTGTTAAAGTAACATTATTCGGAAAATAATGGCTTTTAACGGGGCAAGTAAAAAAATTGCAAATAGTTCATGATATTGTGGTACGTCATTAAGAATGACAAGTTAAAATTTTACGATGATAGCTTTGATTGTGATATCTAATCCACTACATCCCTAAGTCTTTCCATAACGTTTTCATAATGTGAATTAGTTATTCTCACTGATCTGTATTTATAAAATCATTAATTATTCCTGAATTGGTTTCATCTAACTCTTAACATTCGGCAAGCGTTTCCTCATAAATCTCATACACAAGCTTCGTTATCAATTCAATATTTTTCATATAAACTAAGAATGTAAACCTCACATATTAGTACAATAATTACACAATAACATTGCAATAAATATTAAAAGTAATAGTGTAGTGTTTACAGAGATTAAGTATCCGAAAACAATTTCTGTGTAAAGAAACTTTTATGATAACGTATACTGCTAATAATCACCTTTCAGCTTAACAATAAGGAATTAAGTGTACATTTGTCTAAATATTTGTTTTTTAGAATCGAGCAATTGGAAACAGCTAACTGCTTTAACTACCACCAAACATATCAATATTTAGGTTTAGTAAAGACATTATCGGTATGTCACATTTAGTAACATACTGTAAGGTACCTGCCACCGATCGTACGCGAGCGTTACGACGCGTCGACAAGAGCACGGTATCACGCACCGAAAGCGTGCTACGCCGATTATCGTGCTCCGCGGAAACACACGAAGGAACCGTGTACGAAATCGGGCGTACCCTTCGAGAACCATCGAAGGGAACCGCGGCACCGGCATTTTTGATAATTAGAGTCGATAATCTCGGTTAGGCGCGCTTAGCCTGCTTGCGTATAAATACAAAAGGTGGTCTCAAATCCCGCGAGCACTTGGCGCGCAACATTACCGTGTCTTTTGCCCAGTTAATAAAAAATAAAAAAAACGTAGTGCTGCCACTTTTTATCTTCAATACTGATAATTTTTAAGATTACAAATCATAACAGTTTTTAATAATAATTGCAAAACGAGCAAGCAGATGGTTTTAAAATTTCGCTGAAAACATTTTTATTCATTTGAAAAACATGGTATAAAGTTCCAAATTTTTAGCAACAAACAAGGTGTTAGAAACAAACTACCTGATTTAAGTACCACCAAGGTTCAAACAACATATCAATATTTAGGTTTGGTAAAGACATTATCGGTATGTTACATTTAGTAACATACCCACTGTGATACTGTCCGGATATAGTGGCCTACAAATGGATAGAAAAAAGAGTTGGGTGTGGGAACATTTTATTATATCAAAGTCTAATGCAAAATGTAAGAAATGTGGAGCTATGTATAAAAGAAGGTGTCATTGTCAGTTATTAAGTATGCATTTAATATCTAAGCATGGTATAAAGAATGAAGAGGAGAACTTAAAATGGAAAGACAAGCTGGAAGCAAACTCACTTTGGCAATTTTTCTCAAAAGAAGATGGATTTTCTGCACGTTGCAACGATTGTGGTGCAAAAATTTCTCATGCTTATACTTCGTTGTCTTTAAAACGACATTTAAATACTCATTTAAAAATAAGAGAAAACCTTGCTTGCACTTGGCTACGAAATCATTATACATTCAAAACTTTTCGTGCAAGATGCAATGTGCAAAGTTGCGATTACATTTTTCATTTACGTCAACAAAGAAATGCCTTAACAGCCTTAACAGTACACTTGTCTGCACGCCATAGTATAAATGACGATTCGGGATGTGATGAAAGAACTGAAGATGATAAGTATGCACATGGTACAATACATGAACATTCTTTTGCCCCGGCTCTAGGTCTTATCACGATAACACATATTGGCAATCTCGTGGAAATTGCGAAACTCAACAAAGGTAAATGTTTCAGATATTACTGTTAATAATCGTGAGTAATTAATATATTTCATTATGTACAATTGGTAAATAAAAACTGAATATCTAACATTTAACAATACTTTTTATTAGAGTGTGTGAAGAAAAAACTGGAGATAATAACAATGGTGGAATAAGACAACAATTTCTCGATGAAATTAATTATGCCGGACACAGTACTCATCATGATAATACACCTTGGCAATTTCTTGGAAATCAAAGTCAACAAGAGTAAATGTTTCAGTCAGTTATTAAACCGTTGGTTATCTTAAATTATTGTGTAATGTGTGTACTACCCATAAATAAAAACTGAATATCTAACATTTAAAAATACTTTTTGTAAGAGTGTGTGAAGATAAAACTGGAGATAATAACAACGATAGCAATAACGCAGATGAAATAATACAACAATCTACATACGAAAATAATAATGCCAGCTCAGGTTCTCATACACACTGGCAATTTCTTGGAAATCAGGTTCAACAAATGTAAATGTCTCAGTTAGATATTAATCCGTTGTTCATAAGTTCTCAGTTATTAAAATAATTTTGTACTGTACACCTAATAAATCAAAATTAAATGTCTAACATTAAAAAATACTTTTTTAAGAGTATATGACGAAAGAATTGTAGATAATAACGCAAATGCAATTGTACAACAATTTCGCGGTGAAATTAATTATGTCGTCCCAGGTATTTATTATGGTGATACACCCTGGCAATATCTTGCAAATCAGAGTCAACAGGGGTAAATGTCTCAAGTTTGAATCTTTTATTCATTCTGAATTATTAATATATTTGAAAATGTACAGCTGACAAATAAAAAAAACTGAATATCTAATATGTACAAATATTTTTTTAAAGAATGTACCAAGAAAGAACTGAAAACTATAACGCACATGGAATATAAGGACCTATAAGTGAAAATAATTATGCTGCTCCGAGTTGTTCCCATCACGATAATGTACATTGGCTATTGCTTGGAAATCAGGCTCAACAGGGGTAAATGTCTTAAGTGAATCCTTTATTTATTCTAAATTATTAATATATTTTATAATGTACGGCTGACAAATAAGAAGCTGTATATCTAACAAATTGAAATGGAGACTATATTTTCAGTATTTATCGTATGTCTATTCTATATATTGTAATCATGCGAGTAAATAATATATTATATAATTCTATCGACTTTGTATCAAGTTCTATTACTTTACACATATTTTTATTAATTTAAATATATCATTTATTTCTAAGGTACATATTCACTAATAAAAAAATATTTTCATACGCGTGGAACTGCGCGGGCAATTCGGATTTTAAATAGTTATTAGGTTTGGACATTCCTTTTTAAGAAATGTGAATAATAAGTGGCAATCAATTTAATTTAGTAACACACACGATTGCAAATTGACGTTGTAATTCCAGTGTAATGTAATTCCAATTACATTAGTAGTCCCGATTCCTTAATTGTCCTTTGCATGCATTGCAGGTCGATGGATAATTACAATAAACAATAAGGATCTAAATCTGAATCTAAACGTGGCCCAATTTTGTGAAAATTGTTATTTCTACACTACCTATACATTTATAATAATAACTCTTGACGAAGACATTGGAATTTTTCGATAAACTGCACGTGCACTTGACAAGAAATTACACATTTGGCATGGTTACACAATGTAAGCGTTATTATAATTATAGAACATATTCAGATTATAGTATTGACATTATTCAAAATAGTATTATATTTTCCATATTAAATTTTGGCTGGTTTAATATTTTAATTATGTGGACAGTTCAAATGTCAATATTTTAACATAAAAATTCGAATGTATTTATAATTTTAGTCTGCGCGTAATATTTATAATACTTTTTTGCATTAAAAAAATTCTGTTACTGTAAATTATCTTGAAATAAATCAATAACAGGGAGCAAAGACGTAAATACTTTATCACCTCGTTCCAAGCAATGATTCTTAGAGGCATGGAGTGTTTCAACGACGGAAAGTGTTTTCCAGGCTCCGTGTTCTTCTTTCGTTTGAAATTGGAACTTCTATTCCTGGAAATACAGTAAACCGCGATGGGCGGAGATCGAGATCGAGTTAACAGACGGCCGAGAAGGAAATTACATGACCTTTCCACCGTATCGCTCTCCGTCATTCTATTTTAGTTCGACTAATCAATCCGATCTTTTTTTTCTTTACACGTTGTTTGTCGTGTAATTCGTTGCGCTAAATTTTTACCACCAATCAAGGTGAATGCCTCGCCGTCCAATTCATGAATTTTTTACCTGCATCTACCGTCTCTTCTATTCCCCGGCACAATCGAATCACACAACGTCGCATGACTCACAGGCGTCGCGGCGTCGCAACCTTTGCGATGGTCCCAGTACGGAATTATTTATTGACGCCCCGTCCAATAAATTATTTCCGGCAGGATGCGCGTCGAGCAACAGCGACGGCGGAGACTGCGGAGTCGTTCTGCCTTATAAACGCGAGGACGATTTCTGCAAGACAAAGTGTCGTGCGGGGCTGTTACCACGACGTGGCATTGTTCGGTCAGTTGTGTCAGTTGCAGCAACGAACGTTTCCACGGTCGTTACTACTGCTGCGTCGAAAAATGCCCTGCAGAAATAAAAGGTATCCTCTTCAAGTATTTCCTCGAAGGATATGCTAACTCACCGCTTCGGCCCTTCACACGGCAAAAACAGCGGGTCGCACTCGAGGTTCTTATCTTGCGTATACTTGACCCTTGGAAAACGTTAGCTCCTGCAGCGCGATGCATTATAGAGACAGACATTTTTGGAGCTAGAGGATCCTCCGTGTATATCGGCCAATCCCTATCGGTGCATTCTGTCGACAGCTGATACAATATTTAAGTGAAAAACCTGCGACGCTTCCAGGTACCCGGATAAACGGGACTATACGGAAGGAGTGGCGGACAAAGTAGAGGGATATCGTATATCGGAAGTATCGCGTTAGACAGAGTCTAGATTTTCTGGTTCGTCATCTGATTCTTTTTTTTTTGTATTAAAACGTTCAAACTTTCGATGATTATAAAAAAATGGATTTCCCATATTCATATGTAGGTATATGAAATATTTTTCGAACATTTCATACTTCCAATGTCTGTATCGTGTCATTTCTTCAAGTAAGACAGTCTTTTTTAAAGTAAATAATATTAATTTTAATTGTTAAAGGAAATAAGTTAATGACTACGTCTACTTTTTGAACAAATCACGTTACGATTAATAATATAATTTACAGTCACATACTAAATTTTTTGCGCAATTACTTTCTTACATGGTTTATAACATAATACAATTCCATACAAGGATTTTATTCAAGAGCCCGCACGAATAGGGTTGTACAAAGAGATTCCTTTTTAAGTGTTGGACGCAAGGTCAAACGCTTGAAGAAGAGCCACCTTTCTCTTTACCTAGAAAAATCGTTATAATATGGTGGAAAGAACGACCTAACTATTACCAGCTCGTAAACATTGCATCGCGTGGCTGTAAAACGTCTCGCGGACCGAATATATACGGTCCTTCTGCCATCGCACGGATTGCGACTTATATCGTTTGCACGGTGCACATTCGCGACAGTGCACAGTGTATAAAAGCGGCATTTGTCCCGCGGGAACGTATCGCTGGTCATCGATTCGACGTGGGCCGACGGAAGGCGAATTTACAACTTCCTTCCTCAATGCGAATCCAACATCGACAACAACGAGCGTGTGATCTATGATCGAACGAGCAGCGAGAAGGAGGCGTGAAGCTCTCAGCGATTCAATAAAACGCGATATTAAAAGGGTGCATAATGGAACTACGCCGACGCAATGCAGAACAAACGAATATTCGTAAAAGTCTTTTAGAAAGCTGCTGTCCTCTTTATTGTGTTCCGTAATAATTTCGTAAACAATTCTAAATAGACTAACGAGAATAATCTTCGGGGTCGCCAGCAATAATTAACAACGTCAAATTTGGTCGACCGTATCTGGCAATTTTTATGTTTAGGAATCGCTAAGTTTCGACCATGGGTTTTTGGTCCTTTTCAAGCGACTGTACAAAGTAATTCTAAATAATTTGAAGGGAAAATTATGCATTTAAGGACTTAAACAATTTAATATAGCGCATTTAATTGGAATCTTTTAAGGAATATTTATGTTATTTCTGCATATCTTATATCTCGTATTAAGTTATTAAAATCGTATATAATATATTGATTACAGAATATATATTTTATGTTACTATTGGCAGGAAAATTAAATTACGCTAATTGCACATCAATACAAAGATTTCGTTCTTCGCGAAAGCTTCGAGTTTCGTTGGACTTTCGAGCGTTTAATTCAAAACATGGCGAGATGCTGCAGAATGCATGTGCATCAAGTATGTAGGTGGCAATAAATCGCGTAGGAATAATATTCGCGACACTCAAGTACTACGTTTTCTATTGGCGGTCTTCTGCGAAAGGGTTTCTAACTACGCGTGCCCATGAAAAAGTCTTGCGGTGAAAACGATATATTTCTGTTTGTACGGGAGAGATCGTGCTAACGTTACGAGTCGATGGACCTTTGCAACATTTGAGGTCGAGCGAAATTGCACCACGCGTGAACTCATATTTTTGTAAAAATTTATAGAAATTCTTTTCATCGATATAGAAGCTCAAGCAGTTATATTTAACATTGCGAAGACGTGAATTTAACTTGAAATATATTTGTGACATTTATTTAGACGCTTTATTCTGACAACTTTTTTTTATAAATGTCAGGAAACAGTTTCACTTTTACTTACTTCTCAGTTCTGTTTGTAGTAAATGTGGATCTCTTATTGAAGGGTTTTATTTAACACAATTTAGAATTGTTACGATTCTCAATTCTTATTTCTACTTTACTTTGTCATTTCATTTGCGTACTCAAAAGTACACGGAGAGAATTTTCTTTTAAACCTGAAAATCAGGTAATCGTGGGACATAGAATTTTCAAGAACTTTATGAGAGCTTTTTGAAATGTTAATTTCACTAGTAAAATGTATGGTAAAATTTCAAAAAACTCTCGCCCGCAGCAGAATTTCCCAAGGCATGCATAAACAGTTTATTGCAATACCTTTATTATAATCGATTTTACTAATAGTAAAACCTATACTAAGTATAATCACTAGTAATAAGTATGATAAAATTTTAAAAACTCTCATAAAATTCTTGGAAATGCTGTGTTGCCCCACGATTATATATACAGGATAAACTTTAAGAGAAACTTCTCTCCATGTACGCGTACATGTTAACAAACAATTTAATTCATTTAATTCGAATATTAACTGAATAAAACTGTATTAAGGGTCTCGATTATAATAAAGATATTGCAATAAACTGTTTCTGCATGCCTTGGGAAATTCTGCTGCGGGCGAGACTCTCACCCCTGATCGTATCGACAAATAAATCACGACCGTCGCACAGAAGGGGTAATAAATCCGATGGGACTTTTTCTAATTATACAGCCTGCTCCGTGCTCGCAAACGGCATTGAAGGCGCCTGCTCAGCGCCGTCCGTTAACAACCGTTCGAATGGCGTATAAAACAAGTCGCCGCGACGTTTTCATTGCGGGCAAAGCAGGAGGGGGAGGGGGGGACAAAGAGTGTAGAGTATACCGGAGGGATGCAAGAGAGAGGAAAGTCACCCTCTACGTGAAGCGCCTTTAGCCGAATGTATACGGTCGTTACGTTAGTCGAGCGTGTTGACGGGCCCTCGGCTTTCCTCGCGCCGCTCTCTTCGTCTTCTCAGTTTCGATTTAAACAAGCCTGAGACGTGGCCGGCCTGAACGTATTTTTAGTACCGCGAGATCGTTTGGATCTCCTGCTTGTCGACAACGGCATGCGCATGTTCCCGACGGCGCGGTTAAAGAAATCCGTTGTAAC